ACACACCTGACCGTGCACTTCACTCTTACCCGATGATCCACTGTGGTTCATATCCATCAGGCCAACTCCAGTCCGAAACACTCACACCGTAACCTTTGTAGTCGGCTGTCTTGTGCATTCCATGTGAAATGAGATTTGGTCCATATACTGTCCGGTGGGGTGAAGTTGTTTGTTCTGACGGCCCTAAGCCCCATTAACCGCAATTATGATATTTAGGTGATCGACTATGCATGATCGAGTTTGCGAGTCGTTCCTGGCCGTATGTCCGGTTTAAGGACGGTGCATTAGAAATCAGTGGACTATGGGAAGATTGCGTCGCTCGGAAACAATGCATTTGCATCTCATGGACTGATGGCGTTCAACAGCAAATGGACAAGTATACTCCCAAGACGTCCTGTGAAGTCCTCTCAAAGTTCAGCTAACCTGTGTTATTTTCCAAGCATTTGTAGGTGCCCTACACAGGGTTTAAGGTGTATCTATCTGGGAGCTTACATACAGGCGGCTTGTTGCGAGCTGATTAGATGCAGGCACATCTTGCGTGGTTATTCTAATGTGCTACACGCGCAGATGACTTTTAATTGTTAATGCAGCCCAACCGACCATACCGCTCACTTTTGTGCAGCGCACCTGCCACTCATTTCTGCAACATAGGAAGAAAAATATCTTCGCCCACAATTCGATTTCTGATTTTCATTATAAAAAGTGAAATTTAAGTAGTTGGCCTGCCGAAACTCAGCATACCTAGTAATTTACTGGAACATGAATCGTTTTTGACGTCTGGCAAAACGAACACTTTAGACCGCCGCACAACTCACATCTGTGCGTCGAGTTTGGGTACAAGCAGCCTTTCAACATGCGACGAGTTAGCAAGTTGGCTAAGTCGTTGAATATGGGACGGCGAAAGTTGCCTTACTGTGCACACCCTCCGACGCGTTTGTGCTGTGTGGACCAACATGGTACAATCCTTCGGGAGTCGAGCTACGAAAGAGTCGCGGGATATGTCAGACAGGGCCCGTCATGTCAGGTCTGAGGAAGTTGTTAGTTGGGGACGACCGTGTCTCCAAAACAGGTGAGTCATGCTGTATGGGGTTTCACACTTGTACAACCACCCCTAACTGATTTGGCAGCGGAGACGAAATGCACACTGGTAAGCGGTGACTTGCTCGCTCGCCTAAGAAACCCTTGCACCTGAGCATGGAACCAACTAATGGGTCTGAGAAGGGTCAAACTACAATACGGGCCGGACACGTCTGGCCTGAAAATGTTGCCCGGTAGTGAAACTTCAGCGTCCGCCATTCTAGTGTACAACCACCTCTCGGTGATACCAATGACATCATATGACCCGGAAGCTAGGCGGTCTTTCAGTTCGTCCAGTTTATTACCCTGAGCATTCGTATACAAGTAGGCTAATTTCTCGGTCGCTAGGAATCCACAGAGGGTTAAAGGGGTCAAGTGTGTGAGAATGCCGACCGATAGGAGATCGGCAGTTACTCGTGTTTTTATAGGATCTTGATACCTCGTCTGAAACGTTGATTCGGTAAAGGTGCGTCCCAATCTTCGTTTAGACCTACGTCACAGTCAAATAAAGCAGCAGTCAAGTTAAGCTCCTGGAGTATTATCGGTAAGCTTGCTACTTTAGTTGCTTTGATATTTGAACTTTACAAAGATTCTATGATCTTTAACCAAAGTGCAAAAGGAAGACTTGTCCGATTTCTCTGCAATCTATCCAAAACATCCGTTGCTTGTTGTTCTGACTGAACCACAATTTTTAAAATGCTATTGTCGCATCCTTTATAATTTGGTGAGAGATATCCTGGTGAGTGATAGCGCCACAATATTATCCAAAAGAAGTGTTTCTCGAATTAAGCGCCATGCTTTCTGACCTCTTGCACATCATTAGTAGGATGTTATGGCACGCCATGTATGAAGAGCTTTTAGGCGTTCTTGTTGGCTGTTTCTCTCTTCTGTGTTTCTTTTGGATTGGCGCACTCCGGGAGACATCAGATTAGATGCGTATCCCACAGGATCCGCGTCTTAGTGCGCTTGCGGAGAGGAAAAATCTTTTTAAGTCGGTAGAAGACTTTGGGGTTACGGCTAAGTCTGCGTTCTCCATAGTGTGACGGGTTCGGATGACTAGTAATTAGTTATAGGTTGACGGGTTTGGATTTGACACTCATCAGCACCCACAACGAGTTCCATTGGTCTGGGACGTCCGATAGCTTACCCCTTGATGTGATGGCAGTAGCTTCGGAGCCATTTTCGCATACAACAGTCCGGGCACTATCGTTGGATCTCACTTTCTCTGATCTACAAGGTAGATTAATCTTTTGCCCTGACCTGCTGACAATTGTTGCTTGTTTACTGTGTCTCTCTATTCGCGTTAACTATGTTTACAACAGAAGAGGCCGCAACGGCGACTCCCGACTGACATTTGCAGCAATCTCTGCATATGTAACTGATGTTCCGGGAGGTCTTGTCTCGACAAGCGACATTTGAACTACCAGTACCGAGGGTTGGTTTTCGACTGCTTTATCCTTGTTAATACCAGATATCAGATCTAGTGGAATTAGCTTAATCAGACATTTCGGTTGGTGTCTGATTCCCGTTGCCAAGAGTACTGTTTGATTCTCTTAGGTACGGTCAGATTGCACCCGGGGTTCTATCAAAGTTGGAGAAGACAACGGAGATGAGGACGTGGATGATTTCGGTTCAAGGGAAGCAGATTGTGCAGCACTCCGTTGCTTAGAAGCTGCTACGCTTCCGTGTTGCATACTCGCTTCCACTGAAGTAATCTTATCGTTTATCTTCTGCACGGCTTCTGTGGTTAACCGTTCGCACAGCTTGACTAGGATAAGAAAGCACTTAACGAGTGGGATGGTTGAGCACGCAGTACAGAACTGAGGCTCACCTTGTGAGCTATTTCGCTCTCGTACTTGTTGTCAGGACACATTTACACATTCGGATGATCCCATTCCAAAAGTGCAAGTAAGCCAAGCCTATTTGCACTAATCAATGACATACTTCTAACCTGAAAATGCCTTTTACTTGGAACCTTTTCGGATTCGCATTTCTGCCATTCAACTTAGTGCCGTTACCTAACCCGGTAGGTTGATTGGCGTACTACACTTTTCTAGGTTTGAGAGTGGCGCACGTCTGTCAGGCGAGCGTTGTGGTTGAAAGGTCAGCTGAACGGTCAGCGTGGTCACTCGGTCCGTGTGATGGGTTATGCAAGCGCACTGGCTGACAAGTTCACAAGGAATGGCGAGTGACTGGAACCTGCTAACGGAATGTAAACACAGCGCTGAACACAGATTGAGGGCTAACAAATTCCCTCACAGCTGCGTTGAGAAATGCCAGCTCGGAATAAACCAAGACTTTTCGGACTACCTCGAGACTTCTGTATCGAATGGTGTCACACAGAAAGGCAATCGGCTCAATGTGATTGAGTTATCCGCTTGCACTTAATCACGGATGACGGTGAAAACGACTAGTGATGGTCCGGACTTTAATCGTGGCAGATATTTCTACGCATGATGGATCACTGTGTAGGGCTGGTAAATCCGGTTCGAATGGGCGTACAATGACAAGGATGCAAGAAGATAGACAGCGGATAGAGAGGAATAATCCAAATGAACTAGGAGCACGCACGTCAACCGTGTGTGTTGATCGACGAGCACGCAGATACAGCCGTCATCTAGTTGACCCCAGACGCACTGCATTAGTGATGGTTCTAGGTTGCCAACACTCGGCTGGGTCGCATGATGCACTTGATCTGCGATGCAATATCTACGTAGTTGCCATAATCAATCTAATGTACAGCAATGACATACTAACGAGACACAGGCCCTTGTAATCCGGTACCTAAATGAACTACTTCAAAGGTTGAACCGAATAACTGAACAAATCAACATGCCGCTGGGTCAGATTGAGGCAACCCGAACGGATGCAAATCCATTTGAAAATGTGGAATTGAGTTGCGTATTCGTTGCAATCAGTTTTGTAATGCAGTATGATGTATAAAAATAGTATTACAATCCTTCACTACAAGTGAACTATCCTCGGGCTGAAAACATTAATTGCCTGTTGGATACCATACAAATATGTGTTTAAATGTGCTAAAAATCAACATGCTGATGGCTAAAACAGTGTTCTTAAGCAAAATTCTTCTACATCTAGCGAAATAACTATAGAAATTACACGAAGAAACATGTGTGTCTCAATCAGTGTAATGTCACTGCGACTGCCACGAAGCTAGAGACCTCAAAATAAATCAAAGTGCTTACTAAAAAAGAGATATCACATAAGTTGGCATGCAGTCGTTAATAAAGGTCATTTCATGTTTAGGAAACTTTTCCATCGTTTCGTACAGATATATACGAAATCCAGCAAACCACCTCGCCAGATATTTCAGTTACTGCTGATCGAAGAAAAGCTCACCAAGGTGAATGTTGGAAAGTAACCTGACAAGGACTGCTAAGATGGATATATTGTACGCTCATGGATAACTCTTCCGAATATCCCCGGAGTGCATCGGTAAGCTGTCGGGGTAATTACTAGTTGGCAGTTGGTGAGTGGTAATGCTTGAGTTGCATTCATCATGAGACGGTCTAAATTTTTGGTCAGAAATACGCTGCGTCCATATTGAGTAAAAATGGAGATGCCATGGGGGCTGTTCGGTCAGTCAGATAACACCACAGATGTCCCTATCCGGCTATGATATGGATAGCGATGATGCCCAAACTACCAACTGCCGAGACTCAGTGGATAACAGATCAGTGGTCTAAAACCGCTTATTCCCGTCACTGTCGTAGACAGTAGACGTCTTCAGTTACATTAAAACATGCACAGTGGTCTGCTAACATTTGGGGCAATCCGATAAGTTCGGGTGTTCCATGGCGCCGGCACAGTTAGACATCAGGATTCCCGGGCCATGTGCATCTCCTACATTCATGATCGACATAGTATCAAGCATATGGAGATTGGCCTTCCTATGAACTCACTAGGGCTGGTTTGCTGTCAGCTGGTTTCCAACCGAGTCCAATGACCCTTTGACGATGGGATGCCGATGAGGACGTTTTAACAATACTGGGTCGCCATGCAACCACGGATGGCCCCACATGTCTTGTGTTGGGCGGAAGCTGCATGAATTGACCGGGGAGCAAGGTAGGGTCTGATTTCAACTCCAGCTTGTGGAATTTCAGTTCGTTCTGTCGAACGACACGCCATTTCTTGGATGGATGGAATAAAGAAATCAAGGGTGCGGGGCCCGACCCTCTGGTTGTGGAAGTGAGCACGTTGGTAAAGAGAGAGTTGGAGGCAAACGGAGATAATATCGGTGCCTCGGTAGATATCGAAGAGGGGTGTTGGGTTGGTGAGATAGGCTTTGCCGCAACCATTTCGTGGTCGAGGTTGGTAAGATACGTCAGACTCGAAGATTCACATCTGGTGGGAAAGCAAGGCATGGAGTAGAATTTGTACGGCCCATGTATGGTTTAATCAATTAGGTTAAACAACCGTGATCTGGGTACCGAAGTGCGGTGGGATGGGTTACCATGACTTGCGTCGTCAGGATAAGAATAATAAATCATGGCGGTGAGGATTGAATTGGACACAAAGAGAAAATAAGGAAGAAGAGGCCAAGAAAATTTGAATGAAATTAACCGGAACAGAACATTAAGTTCGATGCAAGAAGCAAAATGCAGCAGCGCCATCCAATCAGCATCATTCATCATCGTCAAGGCCACGGCATCCGGTTTGAAATTTACCGCTCCGCTCCCAGGCCAGTTTATTCCAGTTTTTTGTGTCAGATATTGATATTTGTGGTCAGGAGTTATATAATTCTGTATAATTTTTGATTCTGTATTATCCAGTGATAGATTTAGATCCATTTCTGCAGTAATTTTCTGGTTTTTGTCTACTAAGTGTTTCGTCGACCCTAGTGTTATCTAGCTCGTGTCCTTTGAAGTAAAGTTTAGCTCGTTGTTATCATTATTGTAGCTGTTTCGTCCTCTGGTGTGTGTAATTCACTCTAGTTAATTCTTTGGCGTTTTACGACATTACTACCTGTAATAATTTATCAAACTTCTGTCCCGCTTCATAACACTGATTTTCTCTTATCGATCGGTACCTTTTTTGAAATGGCGAAGCAGTCACCTTGTGGAATGTGCTGCAAAGTCGTTGGGCATCGAGCTAACGCAATTACATGCAGTCTCTGCTGTGTTAAGCTTCATATTTCGTGTGTTGGTCTTACAGTTGACCAATTTCGTGTAATCCAGGGTATTCAGAACGAATTTTTGAAGATCGTTTGTAAACTGTGCCAAGCTAAACTTGCGCAGAATAGAACCAACACGTCTAGCAAGTGGACCAGTACAACGAAATGCTCTAAAATGGCCAGCTCGCCTTGTGCTACACCACAGGCAGGGAAGCAGCCAGTGCCTAGTACATCGCGTCCATCCCGGAACCAAGATACTAAAGTTCCGTCAGGATCTCTCTCAAGGCCGACAATATGTTCAGTTGGCAGTACACCTCCAGTTTGCAATAAACAAATTGACGATAACGAATGGAAAATACAAACATCGAAGAAACCAAGAGCAGTGTCTAACGACCTGAGGCGCCGTAGCCTCATGATATTTCACGCGCCTGAATCAAATGATTCCAACCCTCAGGTGCCCATCGCAATGAGGCTGGACCTTACCGTGGTGCGATGGTTTGCTTGCCTCAGAGATCCATTGAGCTATGCTGGGTGGTGCTTTTTTTTGCACCTTTAGAGCCACTCATACCAGATTGGTCAATGGTTAGAGGCCAGACAAACTCAGCCTCCTGGTCCTCCAGGTTGGGGGTTGGAATGGGGGTGGCTCCTCATTTCATAAAACGGGCTCTGGTAGTCCAGTGCCAAAAAGCGGATGCCTTGCGGTAAGGTTTTGAACCAAAGGCTATGGTTGAGAAACCCAATCGGCTTCCAGACTAGGCCCTGGGCAACCTGACAGTATTCTGCCCACGCAATACAATGAACCTTTCCTACAACAATTTCTTGATGCTCTGGCCGTCGCAGAGGATAATAAACGGCGCCCTATCTGCTGCATCGAGCAGGGTGGATAGGGGTTTGGATGCTACTGCTCAGGCCTTCCCGTCTTCTTATACCCCTTCTTGCGCTTCTGCATCCTTATTGTCCCGCTCCAACTTTACTTATATCCCCCCCATTTTCAATCCCCCAATTCTTGGCCCTCCCCCAGCTTACTTCAATAGTCGCTTGTCTTCTAATTTCAAATCACACACAATCGCAGGGCCTCGCTCCAATCTAGTCGATAAGTCCATGTTCAACCAAGCGGACAACGTCAGTTCATCCGTTTCCCTTTGGAGTCCTCGTGTCTCGCTAAGATTGGCATGCCTCAACGTGCGCACTTTGCTGCAGGTTGGCCAACAGGCAGCACTTGCCCGCACACTAGAGACCCTATCGATCGATATTTGCTGTTTATCAGAAACCCGCCTGCAAGATTCGAGCTCCGTGCTTACCCTGAGATCCCCCACATGCGACACTGGCGGCACATTCTCATTGCGCCTATCTGGCGATGATGCAGCTTCAAATGCCGGTCAAGCCGGCGTCGGCATTGTTTTGAGTCCCCGGGCTGAAGCTGCCCTGCTTGATTGGATCCCAGTAAACAGTAGGATGTGCGCCGTTAGATTAGCTGGCTCGTTCCGTGCTTCGAAGTCGCGCGGGGACAAACGGTGCCTGTTTGTCATTGCGGCCTACGCCCCTACAAACTGTAGCACTGATTCGGTGAAAGATGATTTCTATCAGCAACTTCACGAGCTCCTTCGTTACAGAAGAAGCACGGATACTGTGGTGCTGGCTGGCGATCTAAACGCCCAAGTCGGAAAATTGTCCTCTGATGAGCTTCATCTGGGCGGCCAACATGGTGTAGGCTCCCGTAACGATAATGGTGAGCGATTGCTCCAGCTGTGTGAAGATGCTCGCCTGTTTCTCGCGAGCACTAATTTTCGACACAGCATCCGCAGAAGTGTGACTTGGCGGCCACCAGCCTCGGGCCAGTCATGGACGCAAATCGATCATATCGCGATCAGTTACCGCTGGAGAGGCTGTGTCCAAAACTGTCGCTCGATTTGGAGCACGAGCGTGGACTCTGACCACGCACTTGTATGTGCCGACCTCCTGGTGCGTTTCGGTGGACGTCCGCGACGTCGATGTGAACGGATTGACACTAGCCAGCTGGCGAAGCCAGATGTTCTGAATGTGTACCAAGATGCGCTGACATCTGGGCTGAGTAAGCGCCCACTAAACACCGTTGAAGATCACTGGTCGCACACTCGTCAAGCGTTGCTATTAGCAGGCGTATCTTCATGTGGCAAAACAAATTGCAAAACCGGACATTGGGTCTCTACACAGTCTCTGGAACTTATGGATGCTCGCCGACGTATTCCGGCTGGAAGCGAATACAATGAAGCTCGCAAAAATCTCAGGGCGAAACTACGTGCTAGCCTAAAGAAGGACCGCGAAACCTGGTGGTCTCATCGTGCCTTTGAGATGGAAACAGCCGCTGCCGTGGGTAATCATCGTAAGTTATTCCGTCTGATACGGGAAACAGGCAGCAGGAGACCTGGTGTTAGCGAGACCATACGCGACGAGAGTGGGCAGATGATCCACAGCCTGTCAAAACGCTTGGAGCGTTGGGCTGAACACTTTGCTATGCAATTTAACCAACCTGAGTTATCACTTTCTTCGGGCATTGAGCGCCCTTCTCCTTGGGCCGTCTCCTTGGATCCGCCCTCACGCGCAGAAGTCGAACGTGAGATCAAGCTGTTGAAATTGCATAAGGCCGCAGGAGCAGATACTATTCCTCCAGCCCTCTTCAAGTTCGGTGGACCTGCTCTAATAGGTGATCTACACGAGTTGCTAGTAAAACTTTGGGAGCAGGAGACAGTCCCGACAGACTGGAACCGCTCCGTCATTGTCCCAATTTTCAAGGGAGGCTCCCGTTTGGTATGTGGCAATCATAGAGGGATCAGTCTGATTTCGATTGCCTCTAAATTGCTTGCCTCTCTCATTCTCCACAGACTGACTGGCACTCGTGAAAGCCAAATTCGTGAAGAGCAAGCCGGATTTCGTCGAGGTCGGGGCTGCATCGACCACATCTTCACTTTGCGTCAAGTGTTGGAGCACCGCCATGTTTATTGGCGACCCACCGTTGTCGTATTTCTTGACATAAAAGGTGCCTTCGACTCAGTCGATCGATGTGCCCTTTGGGACTGTCTATTGAGGAAAGGTGTGCCTGATAAATATGTAAACATTATCAAAGCGCCGTACGCATATAGTTCGGGCAGGGTGAGGGTTTATGGCAAACTCTCGCCACCCTTCAGTATCGCCAGCGGTGTAAGACAAGGATGCCCGCTGTCACCTTTCCTCTTCAACTTCGCTATTGATGAAGTCATGGAAACAGTGTTCGCTGGACACGACCTAGAAGGTGTGGAGCTACTCCCTGGTGAGCGACGTCTTGACTTGGAGTATGCAGACGATATTGCCCTAATCTGTGACAGCTCCCAAACATGCCAAATAGCACTTTACCGATTGACACCGACTGCCAATTGTTTTGGGCTATGCTTTGCTCCATCGAAATGCAAAGTACTTCTCCAAGATTGGCAGGGACCCACCCCTGCGTTAACGCTTGGTGGTGATCTGCTAGAAGTCGTTCAGGAATTTAAGTACCTGGGCAGCTATATTAGCACCCGTGGGATTGAAGATGAGGTTACGAACCGTATAGCAAAAGCTCGAGGTGCTTTTGCCAATCTCCGCCACCTGTGGCGCAGACGCGACATTATTCTCGCCCTCAAGGGCAGAGTTTACAACGCAGCCGTCCGTTCAACTCTCCTATATGGCTATGAAACCTTGCCCATCAGGTCGACAGACATGAAGAGACTCGTCACGTTCGATCATCGCTGCCTTCGCAGCTTAGCTCATGTCTGGTGGGAACACCGCGTGAGCAATGAGCGTGTTCGACGTCGCGTATTTGGTGCAGGAAGAGCGAGTGAACCGCTCAGCACGATTATATCACGCACCAGGCTCCGATGGCTGGGCCACGTCTTGCGCATGCCAGCACACCGACTCCCACGACGTGCATTGTTTGCGCGTTGTGGGTGCGGTTGGAAGAGGAGGAGGGGAGGCCAAGTGATGACTTGGTCGCGAGAAATGAAAACCCTCACTTCGAAGTTGGCGTCGGTTGGTGCATCCCGACTGCCTGGCTGGGGTCCTAAGGACGGTGAACACGTTTGGTTGGACACACTTGCTGATATGGCTAGGAGCCGGCCCCAATGGCGTTTGTGTTGTGAGTTCCTTTGTCCATCCCCCTCCTGTTTAGCATCCCCCTCCAATCACGATCTCAATCGTTAGGCATAATATGACTTTCTTTTACGGCAGCCAGCTGTTAGCTCTCCGGAACGATGTCCATCCGTTACTGGGGACTCAGCGGGCGTGCCACTGTTTGTTTGTTTTTTCTTTTCTTGCCTTTTGTATTGCGGCACAATAGCTGAGGTGTTTTCCACCTCCAGCTAACGTGTAATGATGATGATGGA